TCAGAAAATAAGGGACCCTGATATAGAACCCGAAGTAGTAGGATCCTTATTAAAAGAGCCCCAAAATGAGGTACCCTAGTTTTCTGAAATGCCCATTTGGGGCGGAGGGTTGAGAATGGAGTCTGAATCATTGCCAATATAGGATCGCCTTACAGGCATTATATCCTTACAGACAGTAAAATATACCCCAAAACCCACGTCTAACGAATATGGCCCCTAGTGCTAAATCTGAACCCCAAACCCGAAACCCTAAACCCTAAACCCCTGCAAGCAGGCGCTCCACACGTGGCGGTTGCGCAGCATAGGCCGGCTCTGCAATCGAAAGTCCCTCTTGAAGGGGCTTAAGGGTGTAATATAGTATAGGGTTTAGGGTTTAGGGTTTAGGGTTTAGGGTTTAGGGTTAGTATAGGGCCATGACTACTCGAACATTTTATTCCTCAGGTTACCCCAATTTAGAAGGTACCCCGACAAAATCCTTGTCGAATTCTTCAGGCGGGTTCAGGTTTCCGCCTAACTACATACTATGTTGCATGATATTTCAGTATGGGCCAGCAAATGGGCTTTGGTTCATGGACGTGGTTTGGGGGTTTAGGGTTTAAGGTTTACGGTTTAGGTTTTGGGGTTTACGGTTTAGGGTTTAAGGTTTAGGGTTTAGGGTTTAGGGTTTAGGGTTTAGGGTTCTTCCCTGCCGTGAGAGGCGCGCTCAACTTCGACGCCACCCCACTGATTCTGATTACCGGCTTTACCTCGGAGAACAAGGACTAGAGTTTGGGTTTTACGGCTTAAGGACTAGAGTTTGGGGCTTAAGGCTTAAGGACTAGAGTTTGGGTTTTACGGCTTAAGGACTAGAGTTTGGGTTTTAAGGCTTAAGGACTAGAGTTTGGGTTGTAAGGCTTAAGGACTAGAGTTTGGGGTTTAAGGCTTAAGGACTAGAGTTTGGGTTGTAAGGCTTAAGGACTAGAGTTTGGGGTTTAAGGTTTAAGGACTAGAGTTTTGGGGTTTAAGGTTTAGGATCTCAGGATTGAGAGTTTGGGTGTGGAGTTTGGGGTTTAGGGCTTAGGGTTCAGGGTTTAGGTTCAGAGACTTCTTGTAGCTTAAACCTATATCTATACCTATCTCTACATATATACACGCATGTTTATCTATCTTGTTTACATTAACTGCATAAACAAACAAATAAATAAATATAAAAATATATATATATATAGATATGTATATATATATATATAGTATAAATACCCTTTACATCTGTATATATAAAATAAGTATAGGTATACCCACTATAGGTACATGCACTACCTATCTATCTATCTATCCATCCATCTATCTATCTGTCTATCTATCTATCCAACCAACTATCTGTCTATCCAACTATCTATCTATCTGTCTATCCATCCATCTATCTATCCATCTATCTATCTGTCTGTCTATCTATCTGTCTATCTATCTACCTACCTACCTACCTACCTACCTACCTACCTACCTATCTATCTATCTATCTATCTAATTATCTCTCTATCCATCTATCCATCCATCTATCCATCTATCTATCCATCTATCTATCTATCTATCTAGCTAGCTATGTATCTATGCATGTATGTGTGTATGTATGCATGTATGTATGTATGTACATGTACATGTATGTATGTATGCATGCATGCATGGATGGATGGATGGATGTATGTATGTATGTATGTATGTATGTATGTGTATATATATATATATATACACACATGCATTGTTCGGCTAGCAGGACCGCCGCCCTGGGTTCTTTGAGGCGCTGGTCAGCTGGGCTGCTTATGTGGCGTCGACGCAGCGGATGGGGGCGTTCGGGGGAGCTTAGGGTTTCGGATTTAGGGTTTTGGGTTCCGGGTTTATGGTTTCCCTTTTCGGGTTTGGGTTTCAGGATCTAGCGAATGTTAGACCGTGTTGTGAAGGATCTAGCATGCTTACAGGTGCATGCGTGGATTCGCATATGAGCTCATGTGCGCGCGCAGCCAGAATTGTCGGCACGTGCTGGTCCAGTACTCGGTTTCCTGTTCACCACAAACTTGCAAAAGGGTTAAATGTCTGGGACACATTGTATGATTGAGTTGTTGTTACTGGTTGTGCCATATTGGACAAGTTTTGTGTGAGAACCAAATGTCGCTTAACGAGTAGAGAGCAACGACTATTCTGATCTCTTGTTCTTTCTTGCACCCAGAGAACCCAATACCCC